AAGATCTCTTATCCTTTGAGATGACATGGAGGGTCCTGGAGAATATTATGCTAAGCAAAATAGGCCAATCAGAGAAAGACAAATATCACATGATCTCACTTATTTGTGGAATATAACGAACAATACAAGCTGAAGAACAAAATAGACCCAGAGACATAGACCCAGTGCTAAAGATAGTAATACTACTTCTTTAGTGCCCAGTCTGTGGGGTACAGACTGACAAATCTCAGAAGAGGGGAATGGGCGGGGGGATGTAAACCACAGAACTTATATGCATATACACATAACCAATGGGCATAAACAACAATCCTGGGGGGAAGGGGGAGGTGGGATGGCAGGAGGGTATCAATGGGGGAAAAAGGAGAAACATCTGTAACAAATATAAATAATAAAAATAAATAAATAAATAAATAAGCAAAAAAAAGAAAGAAAGAAAAATATAAATACTATATTTTGGTTTTTGGAAAAAAAAAGTCTCCTTTAAATGACATACTAATAGGTTGTTCTCAACTAATGTTGATTAACTAACTATATCGTTGACTGACTGACTGGGTCATTACTGAATAGTCTGAAAACTTTTTCTTTTACAGATGAACAATCTATTTGTAGATTAGTCTATATTTTCTTACTTACATTAAATTACTAAAGATAGTAATATTACTTCTTTAGTGCCCAGTAAGGAATGGGCTTGTGAATGAACTGATGCACTATTTTAATTTTTATCCTTCCACATTCCTCTGCAGTCAAATATTGGCCCAAGATTACACAGTTAAGAAGTTGTAGAGTTGGAATATGAGCCCAGGTCTGTGTGCTTAAGTCCATACTTGTAATCACTATTTTACACTGTTCTTTGCTGTGATTTTGAACATTCTTTAATCATCTCTGTCAGCCACATCAAAGACAAGATATGATCAGTCTACCAAAAGGAGTGTTTCCTGGCTGGCCTCATCTTAAATTACCCCAGCCTTTTACATCTAAAACCGTCTCTAGAAGGAATTTTGGAGAAGCATGCAGCAACATCTAGTGTTCCCTCCCCAAAGCTGGAGAAATGACAAGGGCTGGGTAGAAAGAAATATTCTGTCCAGGAGAATAAAACACAGCAATGCTTGTCAAACCCAACTAAACTCTGGCTGTGAAATCAATTTAATAGGGAGCAATCAACGTTTTAAAAAACGAGATAGACTCGAGTAGAAAATATCAGGCTGCATCACTTTATCAGGAGTAAGTACTGCTTTTGCTAAACTGTTTCTCAGTTGCCTGTGTGAGTATGTATGCACATGTGTGATGTGTATCTATGTGATGTAAGATGTACCTGTAACTGCAGGTTGTGGTTCAAATATTAAAATATTTTGAGAAACACTGTAGAATAGGACAATGTCATGAGTGATGGAGGCAGACTGTCAGTTTTAATGCCAACTCTGACTATGGGTACATTACCTAACTTGTCAAGTTTCAGGCTCCTCCTCCATAGAATGGGATGATAATAATACCTACTTCGTAAGTTGTGTTATGTGCAACACGATATCTGATTCTTGGTAAGGACTCACTAACTGTTGTATTAAATAAAGCAGTTGGGGTGGTAAGTTGGTGGCAAGCAAGAGCAATGCTTTGCATTGTGTCGCCAGAATCATTTTAATTCCAGATGCATGTCTGTCTGCTCCCTGGGCATCACCGTCTACATGTCTCATAGGCCTGTCTAAACACCACATGCCCCAAACCAAACTCATCTCCCCTGCTGAAGCTCTCTCCTGCATTCTCTACTCAACCACGGTACAACCCATTAGCCCAGTAGAAACTTAAGAGGATCCTGGATTCTTCATGATTCAACCCATACATGCAGACATTGCTAAGTCCAATGGATTTTCTAACTCCTGAATAATTCTAATTTCTTCCTCTGTTATCCATTTTCCTCATTCTTGTCTTCCTGTTCTCTTTGATACCAACATCATCCCCACTCTGAAAATAAACTAATGGTTCTGCAAGGGCTGGACACTCATCTTAACGACTCCCTCTCCACACTCTCATTGTCCTGCCCTGAGAACACACCTTTCAGAACTTCTGCCAGACTGACATTTTCCAAAAACCAAACTTGATCATTTCATTTCCTAAAGTAAAACACCTTTCACAAAGCCTGCAAGGCTTTTCGTAAGCCATGCATCCCTTTTGGCTTCATCTCCTGCCAGCCTCCCTGGGTAGCCTTCAACGCAGCAAACTCCCTTCCATTCCCAGAGGAGGAAGGCATTTTCATGTCTCTGAGTGTGCACGCTGCTCCTCTGCTGAGAACGCCCTTCTCTGCCTGTCTGCCGATCACTCTAGAGCCCCAGAGGATAAAAAGGTCACTCACTTAAACTTACATTTAAGTACTCTGATTCTCAAAATTCAGTGTGCATCAGGAGCACCTGGGTTGCTGGTTTAAAATTCAAGTTCTAGGCTGCTAATTACAGCAGGGCCAGAGCCTTCCAGCTGTGCTCCTAGTGATTAGGAGCAACTACACCACCGGAGAGATAAACGTTTCTAATGTTTTCCTCCACAACACTCATTCGGGAGTAAAGACCAGTAGCTTGTCTTTGGGAAATGTCTCAAGAGAAATTCAACTGGCAGAATTTCCTAAGGATGGGGGTGGGTGGGTGCTGACTTATTAGTAAAGATGTATCTCTTTAAAAGAACAGCAATGACATGAAGGAAAAATACTGTTATTTAATATAATTATTTATTCACATTATTGCCTTAAACTAGGAAGACCGCATTCTGCCAAAGAGCAGTGATGGTAAGTGTGTAACAGAAAGTCAGCAGCATGCCTATGGGGAAGACGGACGCTGAGCTTCCAGAGATGGAAACAAAGGGATTCCTGTTATTTTCCATAGTAAAGGGAAACAAAGGGAGAACAGAAGCTTCAAGTTAAGTAGCTGGGCTTTTGTGGCAGTTAAATCTTGGTTAGAAGTCAATACCAGAGACTGGTTTTTTATAGGAAACAAATCTCTAAAGCATTCTTATGGCTGCAAGTTAATGCAAACCAGATAACCCAGGGCTTGACGATAAGGATCACAGAATGCTTTTCCCCCTGCTGTCTCTGTTGACTGTTCATAATCTGGCCCACCCTACTTTCTCAATCTAATCATTCATTCAGTCAACTAGCAGTACTGTGTGGCATGCACAATTCTAGGTGCAAGTGAAAGAGAGGTGAAAAGCATAAATCTCATGTTCCAGTAGGGGAATTGAACACAGACACTACAAGACAAAATTATTTGCCATTCAAACAAAGTTACAAAACAAGGTAACGCCATTCATTTAACAAAAATTTGTTGAGCATTTACCTTTGTGCAAGGTAATGTGCCAAGGAGTGGGGATACAGCTGTGAAAAAAAAGTTCACATTGTACTAGGAAAGACAATTATTAAATACTTACCCAAGTAATTATTTCACGGTAAGAAGTGCTACACACAGGATGCTACAAGAGCATGGAAGGTACCGTTTCCTTTGGGGAAAGGGTGGTTAGGAGAACCTTCCTCAAGGAAGCAACATTTGAGATGAGATAGGAAAGATAAACAGTTAATTAGGCCAAGTGCCAGGGTGGAGTTGAGCAAAGAAACATTGTTAAATGGAGAAGAAATGGCATGTTTAAAGGCTCAGGAAGGAGCAGGAGCATAGGCAGGACCAAGACTAGGCAGCATGTGGGTGACTTTGCTAAGGACTTAGGTTTTCTGCCTCAGGGCAATGGAAACCCATTGAAAGATTTTAAACAGTAGGGACATAATTCACTTTGTGCATGTTTTTTTTTTTTTTTTCTTTCCAAAAGATCACTTTGAGTACAGTGAGAGGAATTGGAGGGCAGTAAGAGTGTGCTGATGCATTAGGAGTTGCCTGCAATATGTACCTTACTTTCCAGGTAAAAGTACTGGCAGCTTGGACGAGGATGGTGGAGGTAAAGTGGAGATAAGTAGAAGGATAAGAGATGCATGGAGGAGATGAGATGCACAGGATCTGGTGATGTTTGAGATTTGGGGGTTCAGCGAGAGAGAGAGGTCAAGAACCACTGTCCTCATAACTGGATGGGTGACTGGCGGCATCGCTGAGATGGGACACTAAACAATGAGGACCAGAATTTTTGTGGGGAAGGGGTAGAATGAGAGGACTGCATCTAAAGTTGTACTTTATCCGCATTGAGTGTGAAGGTCTTTGAAACATCCATCTGGAGATGTCAGTAGGCAGTCAGTTATCTGTAAGTCTGGGTCTTCGAAAGAGGACTATAGAATAAATTTGAAACTGTTAGCAAGTTTGTGGTAACTAAAGCTCTATGGGGAAAGTTTAGAGTGAGGACAGAGTCTAGTCTGAGCTTTGAGAAACTCAAGCACTTAAAGGCCGGTAAGCACCGGTAAGCCAGCGGAGGAGGAAGAGAAAGGACAGCTGAGAAACGGGAGGAGAACCAGAAGATGGGTTGTCACAAGATGGCCAAGGAGTATAAGGTTTCGGGAAGGAAGGAGTGGTTAACACTGCTGAATTTCTCTGAAAGGTCAAGTGATACGAAGACTGAAAACTGTCCACTGGATTCAACAAAGTGGAGGGTCCTGTCAGCTAGTGTATGTCTGCTACAGTTAGACCAGAGTGCTTTGAAGGGACAGCAGCAGGTTAGAAAATGTTAACAGCAAATGCACACAACTCTTCCAAGAAGTTTGGCTACAAAATGGGAGTGGTTTAAGGTGGAGAGACTTGAGCACTTTTAAATGCTGATAGACCAGTTCCTCAAGAAGGGATAGAATGGGAGCCAGAGCCCAGGCAGAGGGGCTGGCGAGAGGTGGAGGAGACCATCTCTGCTGCTGTAACAGGAGAGAAGGAGCAATGAAAACGTGGAGGTGCTGTGTGTTTACAGCTCGACGGGAAATAATCAGCTGGGGGTGAGGGCCAGAGATGTCAGAGTAGAGAAGTTTACAAGAGAGGTTGTGGGGAATGTGAGAGCAAGGTGATCAGAGAAACACATGAGGTTTCTGGGCATTGGCAGGAGCGTCAGTTGAGGTTGGTGATCATAAATGTACAGTTGTCCACTTTTTTCTCTTGCACGTTTTCCTCCAGCATGGCTTGGCTGCCTGCCACAGGCATGGAGAAAGCAAACGCTGGGTTTATCCAGGGATGTGACTTTTCTCAAAAGAGTGCAATAAAAAGATACAGAAGTAAAAGTTGAGGTTACTATTGAGAAGAATGGAAATGATGGACCAAGGAATCCAAGCTGGATTAAATTAGGTTAGTGGATAGAAGTGATGTCTAGGGTAGGTAAATGGATGGGTAGGACACAGCTGACCAAGCAGCATCTCTGGTCAGAGTGTTAGAGTCACTGATTTCTATGATTCTGTGGTTTCTATGATTCACATGGAGGAATTTTGCACAATGCCAAGGTCCAGGGTGTGACTCTGGGAGTAGCTGAGGGGGAATGCAGAGGGAAGTATTCCAGCTGGGAGTGGCCAGGATGTTGGAGGAGCCAGCGATGTTGATGCTGAAGTCATCCAAGATGAAGGCAGGGTTGGGGTGGAGAACATCTATAAGCTCGTGCCAAAGTTCTCAATAAATTAAAGGTGGAAAATGACAGTGATGTAAAGGAGAAAAGGTCAGTATCTGTAAATAGTACAACTCTTAGAAGAGGAGCAGAGCAGCAGATTTTGTTGCTGTGATGTTTATTTTAAAAAGAGGATGGGAGCGTTCTAAACGTGGCCTTGGGGAATGAAAGGGTACCTACCTATGACCTGACTGGACGGTTGAAGAGTGTAAACAGAAACATGAGATGGGTTTGGAAGAAGCAATTGACTTGTGATGAGGTAAGATTTAGTTAACAGATGGAGCTGGAGAGACTGTTCTAGAAGGAATTGAAAATATAAGGAAAGTCGTTGTTCCTGAAATCCAAGTAGGATATGGGGTAAGAAGGGAAGGCTGGGTCAAGGGCAAGAACATACATACATAAAAGTTTGTTAGAGAAATAGGTGCAAATAATGGAGGAGTTGGGAGTGTGAAGAAAGGGATTAACTGCTTGGGGTTACAATGGAGGCGGACAGGAAGGTTTTGCAAAGGAGGTCATATCTAAGCTGACATCTGGTAGAAGTTCTGCAGACGGGCAAAGGATTCCAGGTGGAAGGATCTGTATGTACAATGCAGAGGCCCAGGGACCATGCTGCTCAAGGCCGGTGCAGTTTGCTTCAGGGGGGCTGCTGGGCAGAGCAGTGGTGGGGGACAAGGCCAGAGGCTCGGGTAGGCTTGTGGCAGGTAGACCCAGGTCATGGAGGGCTTCAGCGTCCAGCTGAGGAGCCTGTGTCTTAAGGAGCTCCCACAGGCTTTAAAGTGGGGCCAAGGCATGGTCGCTGATTGTCTCTGTTCTAGACAAGTGGGTCTCTTTGCCCTCATCGCCCCCTTCATGTTCTGGCTCACACTGTCCCTGAAGAGTTTAGACTCAACCCTCCGGGTAAATTCTTCTCATCCCCAAGGCCTAACTCAAATCTTAGCCTTTCATGACTACTTCAGTCTACACCTGCTTCATTTTCCCCAAATGTGTTTATTCTTATAATCAGAATCATATGCCCCAAAAGAAAGGCAGTGAAAAGGGCCACACCATTCACCATTTGTGTTAGCAAGCACTGTAAGACATAAAATGATCATTATGAGAGAGTAACCTGTCTCTTTCATTTAGAAAGAAGGCAGAACAAGAGTTGTTTATGAGCATTTACTATTTAAAAAAATATTTAAAAAAGGGGAGTGCCTTCTGGTTCAAGTATAAATAAGCATTCAGTTGGAAAGTGTTGGGTTAATTTTGTCTCAGTTAAAGACTGGCTATGTGGCCTTAAGTAAATTACTCAACTTCTCAGAACCTCAACTTATGAATCTGTAAAATGGGTTAATAATACCAAGTCCACAAAGTCATCAGAAGATCATATAAGATCATTGGTGTATTCATTCAGCTTATTTATTGTGTGCCCTACTATGTGCCCGGCATTCTTAGGAGCTGGACTATGGCAGTGCCCAAGACAGGCACAGCCCTCCTGGAGCCTGCAGATCAGAGGGAGAGAGAATTACACAAATAATATCACAATAATTGCCAGTATAATAATATGGGGATGCCCTGGCCAGTTTTGGTCAGCAGTTAGAGCATCAGCCTGCGGTCCAGAGAGACCTGGGTTCGGTTCCCGCTAAGGGCATATATCTCTGTTGCAGTTTGTCCCCGGCCCTGGTTGGGTTGTGCAGGTGGCAACCACTCGATGTGTCCCTTTCACGTCGATGTCTCTCTCTTTCTCTTCCTCTCTCTCCCTCCCACTCTATCTGAACAAAAAATGGAAAAGTGTTCCCGGGTGAGGATAAAAAAATAAAAATAAAAATAATCTGGGGAGCCAGGCACCAAGCTCAGTGCCTGGTTCAGAATGCACCCTGAATATACACATTAATTAGTTCCTTGCCTTTCCGAACTTCTTTCAGTCAAAGTAATATAACCAGTGCTGTTGGCTAGTATATGCTAATTACTTATTTTAGAAGTTTTCAGGGGCTCTCATTGAAAGTAGGCATCACCCCTGGCCCACACAAACACAAACAAGGCACTGAGGAAACCATGGCAAGAGACTAAGTTCATGTCCTCTGCAGGCTCCAAAGTCAAAGGAGACCCAGCAGCAAATGACCCCATTAAATCTCCTATCCCAACCTCAAAATCATTGGCTCACTTGAGCAGAAAGTGCAAACACATCAAACCACAGGATGAAGCATTGTCTCAGGACCCAGGCTGGGTGGAGGCAAAAAAGCACCTTAGATAGGGCCTGGGAATGTGGCTACTGAATGCAGAGGCCTGGCCCTCTCCAGAGCCCGTCCATCCACTAAAATATGAAGGGCGAGGGAGGGCTCTTCCTCCACTAAGGGGCTCAATTCATTTCTGGTGAATAAAAAGCCTGGGCTTTCCTAAGGTTTACTCATGAGTGACAACATTATTTAAAGCTTTCTGGGCACAAAGGCTTCCCCAACTCCCCAGTAGCCTAGGACAAAAGCATCAGGCGAGGCTTTGGCCCTGCTCATTGTGGGGCAGCAGCTGTGGTTCCTGAGGCTGCAGAGAGATTTCCTCCCCTGCCCTCCCCACCTCCCAGGTCCTGCCTGCTCTGTGCCCTCAGCTGGGGGGAGGGGGGAGGGCTGAGCTGGGAGGTGTGGGTGGAGGATCTTAGCAGAAACGTTCCTCTTTATTCCGGTAGCAGCAGCGGGGTAGGGAATAAATATCGCTGGCTTGGGCATTCAGGCAACCGTATTCAGGCAAGAGGCTGGAAAATCAATTACCATCTCCAAAATTTCTTGGTTACCTCACTGTCACCTGCACAGCCCTGAGCTCTAAAAATATTTGTCAGATACACAGCAAATGTTTGTTTATAAGTTTCTCTCCCCATTGAGACAATAAGGTTTTCTCATGGCAGGTGTTGGGTCTTATTTACTTCTACCTTAGTGTTTGGCTTGTGGTAGAAGTGTAATAAATGTTTAGGGAAAGGGAGAGAGAGAGAGAGAGAGGGAGAAGGAGGCAGAGAGAGAATATGAATGAATGAATGAATGAATGAACAGATAAATTAATATTGGTTTTCAAGGCTGGGCAACTAGATTACAAATGCCAATCTTTTTTGTTGCTGTTAATCTTCACCTCAGAATAGCATTTTTTCCCATTGATTTCTTTTAAAGAGAGAGTTTAAGGTGTGTGTGTGTGTGGGGGGGAGATAGAAAGAGGTAGAGAGATATATTGGCTGCTTCCCCCATGCGCTGCTGGGGAGCAAACCCGCAACCCAGGTACATGCCCTTGACCGGAAATCAAACTGGAGACCCTTCAGTCTGCAGGCCGATGCTCTAACCACCGAGCCAAACTGGCCAGGGCAGGAATGCCAATCTTGATTTTAGAGATTCTACTGAATCCTCAGAAGTTCTTTCCATAGAGGTATCAAGTGGGCAGTGTCATGGGAGCAGTTTAACCCAGCTTTTGCAGTATTCATCTATTTTACACATTAGGCTTCTTTATTTGGCATTTTATTTAAATAAGAGGTTCTGTGGCTAAGAGAACTGTTTGAAAAATATTGGGCTAGATCTCTTCCCCCCTTAGGTCTCTGCCAGCTTTGTTATGTTCCGTGATGGGCAAGTCTTGTATCTTTTCTGTTTTGACCCCTGTTAGAACATTTTTCTGCATCTTATTCTTGGGAGTTTGCAGGAAAAATAACAAGAATAAAGGAATTCACTTGCCAAGTGTCCATGGTATGTTCTACTTGAGCTAGAACTTGAACAGTGACGCTGCTGTTCCTAGCCTCTGTGTGTCCTGGTTTTCCTTACGTGTGCGCTGTCTGTCCCCTATCACACAGATGGGGTGCAGGGACTTTTGAGGCAAGCGGTGCTTTTAGCCTCTATCTCCAGCTCTGGTTTCTCATGTCTAATTTTTACATAAGTTACACCGCACTTTATAGCACTTCTGCTGACTGTCCCGACTGCTGACTCCGCCCACAGAGGACGGACGTGCTGCTGCACATGGGTTGGTCATGGACACTCGATCAAAGAAGAGCTCCTCACTCAAGTTGGAAAAGGACATCATAAGACAACCTGAGAATCCCACAGCACGAATCACCAACAAGGTTATGAAGAAACCCCCATGATTTCATCTGTTCGCTCACCTAGCACCCGTCTATTGAACACCTACTATGTGCGAGGCTATGTGGAACTGTGGAGATACAGAGACGGATAAGAGAAAGTCTTTTGTCAAAGAGCTCACACCCTAGTGACCAAGTTAAGAAAATGAAACAACTGAAGATGTTAAGCACAGGCATAGCAATGCGTCAAGTGCTGTAAGATGACAGAGTAGGGAGAGGACAGTTCCTGAAAGTTGGAAAGAGTGGTGAGGAAGACTTCACAGAAAAGTGATATTTAAAGTAGACCTTGACTTTAATAGTTCTTCAAGCCTGGAGGCAGGAAAATTCTTCAAGCAGGGCAGTCATGGAACCCCTGAGGGGAGAGGGGGAGATTTGGGTGCTAGACCAACAGGGGTGGGGCTGAGGGGTAGGGGTGTGTTAGGCAGTCAGGCTGCAGGGATAGGGCTGACCAGATTGAATTGGGCCCTGCAAGTTAATCCTATGACTCTAGCGGTGCTGGGGAGCCACTGAAGGGTTGGAAGCATGGTCTCCTGTGCTATGCTAAGGAAGAATAATTATCCTGTAGGCAACGGGGAAGGAAATAAAGTGGACAAGTACTGTCCAACCTTCACACTAAAGAGCCTGTTGGCACTGAGGGGACTGAGGAGGGGTGGAGGCTGGAGGCTAGGAGGTAGTGATAGGCTGTGACCATGGTCCAGGTGAAGGAGGGAGAGGCTGTATACCAGGGCAGACAATATGGAAGAGAAGGGACAGCTTCAAGATACATGTCAGAGGGGGAAAAAGCAAGACCTGATGCCTCCTTGTGTATTGAGCTATGTAGGGACGATAAAAGATGCAGAGACCTTGGATGTTCCATGCCTGAGACTGGCCAGTCCCCATTTCTGTTCCCCAGCACTGTGCTGGGGTCCTCTCCATCTCGGTGATGCTCTTCCTTTTCTGGGGTGATTAGCATGCCTGATTCAAGCCCCAAGCCCAGGAGGAAGTGCTGACAGGGGCCCTCATGGACCGTGGCAAGTGATTGTTTGATTCTGATTGTTCGATTTTGATTCTCTGCAGGCCCCTTTTTATGGGCTAAATTGTGTCCCCCCCAAAAATTCATGTGCTGAGATCCTAAGCCCAAGAACCTCAGAATATGACTGTGTTTGGCTTTCAAAGAGGTAATTAACTTAAAATGGGGTCATTACCATAGATCCTAATCCACTGTGACTGATGTCCCTAAAAAAGAGGAGGTTAGGACACAGACAACACACAGAGCCTAGATGAAGACATGGGGAGGAGACGGCCATCCGCAAGCCAAAGAAAGGCCTCTGGAGAAACCAAATCTGCCAACACCTTGATCTTGGACTTCCAGCCTTCAGAACTGTGAGGAAATACATCTCTGTTGTCTAAGCCACCCAGTCTGTGGTGTGTTGTTATGGCAACACAAGTAGACTAACATGCCTCTTGTAAGTAAAATCTCTCCCGGCCCAAGCCTGCCTAAACCCACCTGTGCAGGATAAGTGAGGGCTGGAAACTGGGACCATGTTCCCTTTCCTTATTCCTCCAGCCAGTACAGCGTATCCACTGACCTGTTCCATTATTACTGCATGGGCACCATGACAACGAATGGGCATGTGAGTCCAGGGAATTCAATCTCTTGAGCAAGAATGGCACTGGGTTATTATCAGCGGTGGACCCCTGCTTTTGTTAAAGAACCAGTCAATTGGTTCACAAAACTTACAATACCCAGCTATCGGCACAGGCTCAGAGCTGGTTTCTTAGGCGGTGGGAGGGAGAATATTCCACTTGTGCCAGAATGACTATTGAGCGTTGTTGAATAAATACCACTTGGAAAGACAATGTAAATGGAATCCATCTTCAAGAGGCAAAGGCTATTGGGGAGGTCAAGAAGCATTTCCCCAGCTGTGGTTACTTCATTACTAAATCCAAGGACAAAGAAGTGTGAGGCCCGTGGTCCTAATTAGGCAACAGTAGGAAATCTCATGGTAACCAATGGGAAGACATGGTTTTCACAGACAATTGCTGGATGTAGCTGGCTCAGTCTCCACATATGAGATAAGCCATTTATCTAAAGGTTCCTACTGAAACCAGTAACAAAGGAGCATTTTACCCAATTCCTGTTCAGATTTGGAGATGTCAATTTTTCTTTGTTTCTGGCAAGCAACAACAGAAAAGGTTAGACCAGTACTGCTTGCCGATCTAAGGAAGCCCACAAACTAATCAAGACCTGCAGAATATACTGCCTAGTCACTCCCATAGAAAGAGGCCCAGTAAGAGGGAGAGAACAGACATAGGAACCTATGAGACCTGCATTTGCACCCTGGCTTCAATGGTTACTTAAGTATGTGACCTTGGGCAATTTGTTTAATCTTCCATTGGTCTCAGCCTCCTCATCTATAAACCTTGTGTAATATAGACCTCTTTGCCCAGGGTTCTTATGAGGATTCAGTGTGACCCTGAACGAAGAAGCTGCATGAAGACGATGATGATGGGTTAGGCTCACTGCCAAGAAAATGATTCACTTCTATATGCCAGTGTTACAGTTCACTGTTATTCTGACAAATAAAGGCAGCAGGTCAGCAATTCCTTAACCCTTCTTTACTCACACAGTAAAAGTTAGCAAGCGCCTGCAATGTCAGGCATTGTACTACACAAAACACACAGGGTTCCCCCTCCAGGAACTGACAAGATCCTTCTCAACAGGTTTACATTCATTACAAAAGGACCTCATGATGCTCTGGACACCTACCTCAATAAGTGCCACCTTGCTATAATAACTTGTTACAACCGCCACCATTTCATAGTTTGGTTTTATGCTTAATATTTTACAAAACAACACTTCCACATATATTATATGAGTCCCACAAAGGTTTTGGAATGTCAACACACAACCAGCAGGTTGCAGAGCTGGGTCACAAGCCTGGTTTCCATCTGATTCTAAGTTCAATAGGGATTTTATAACATACATCCTTTTCCTAAGTTTAAAAGAATATATGTGCCCTTGTGTTCATTGCTGCGTTGTTTGTAATAGCAAAGATGTGGGAGTAACCCATCAATAGACAGCAGGATAAAAAAGTGGTGGTACATATATATGATGGATTATTACTTGGCAATAAAAAGGAATGAAATTTTACCATTTGCAACAACATGGATGGACCTGAAGGGTATTATGCTCACTGAAATACGCCAGTCAGAGAAAGCTGAATACCATATGATCTCACCTATACGTGGAATCTAAAGAATAAAATAAACAAATAAAATAGAAACAGACTCAGACACAGAGTGGACTGGCAGCTGCCAGAGGGGAGAGGGGTTGGGCGACTGGGTAAAACAGGTGAAAGGATTAAGAAGTACAAATTGGTAGCTACAAAATAGTCATGGGCCCAGTGATCCCACTGCTGGGAATATACCCGAAGAAGCCCGAAACACCAATCAGGAAGAATATATGTACCCCCATGTTCATAGCAGCACTATTTACAATAGCTAAGATCTGGAAACAGCCCAAGTGTCCACCAGTAGACGAATGGATAAAAAAGCTGTGGTACATATACACAATGGAGTACTATGCAGCGGTAAGAAAGAAAGATCTCTTATCCTTTGAGATGACATGGAGGGACCTGGAAAGTATTATCCTAAGTGAAAGAAGCCAAGCAGAAAAAGACAAATACCACATGATCTCACTTATATACGGAATATAATGAACATAACAGTCTGAGGAATACAGTAGACCCAGAAACATGGAAGTAGGGCACAGACTGACATCCCTCAGAAGAGGGGGTGGGAAGAGATAAACCACAGAACTTATATGCATGTATGCATGACCAATGGACATGGACAACTAAGCCGGGGATGGGGTGGAGGTGGGGTGGGGTGGGGGGTGCCAATGGGGTAAAAAGGTAAAATATCTGTAACAAAAAAATAAATAAAAATTCATAAAAAAAACAAAAACAAAATAGTCATGGAGATGTAAGTAAAGCACAGGGAATATACCGAGTGGTGGTGTGATGGCTGTGTATGGTGCAAGTTTGGGTGCTGGAAATGTCGAGGGGAACACTGTGTGGAGTGTATGATTGTCTGACTACTAGGCTGTGCCCCTGAAACCAACACAAAACAAAATTCAAAAAAAGAAAGAAAAAAAAGTTACTGAAGATCTAAATAAAAAACCAAGTTTGCCAGGCAGTCAAATAAGATTATGCTTTGCTGGTAATAAATACAAGATTTCAGAACAAAAAAAAGTAAAATATGCTTATGATACACTTTAAAAGTTAAGAAAAATTAAATAAAAATTACACCTCATTATTCAGAAATCAGTTTGTACATGTATAATTTTGGTATATTTTATCCTATTATTTTTCTATGTTAAAAAAACTTTGTTTAAACAAAATTGAGATTATAGTAAATGAAAATTTCATCTTCTCTTTTTCTCAATGGGGGAAAAAGGGAATATTTGTAATATTTTCAACAAGAAAGATAAATAAAAATAATAATAAAACAAAACAAAAAATTAAATGATAAGCATTTTCCCACATACTACAACTTCAACCTAAAATAGCATTAAAAACCTGAAAAACACTCCTACTAGTTATTTGATAATTCCTGTTTGTTTTTTTTTTAATAAATATTTTGTTCATTTTGATGAAGACAATGTCCATTTAAAACCCATATCCCAGGCCAAAAAGTACAAATAAAATCAAAAGGGGCAGTGCTCCGTTGTACACACTTATGTATGAATAACTTTATTAACTGCTAATGAAACTTTTCTGGGATCTTCTGACAAGATTTTTTTTTACTCTTAAAATACTTTCTCTTCAGTGAAGCCATCTTTGGAGTTAGTCTTTACTCTCACTTTATCTGTCATCTTGACTCCAACCTGACATTTCTCTTCTTTTGGTCCAGACCTTCAGATTTTAACAGTAGCTTCAAATTGAGGAAAGGTCATTTTTCCACAGTTCAGTTCTCTGAAAAACTTGCATCTCCCGCTGACAGTCACAGTGCAGGAGTGAAGCAACCACATGCTAGAACTTCAGGGCCAATTAGAAGTCATTGTGAACATCTGCAATGGTCGACCTTATTTATCACAAGTCTGGAAATGCAGTCCTGAGAAAGGCGGCCTTCCTGTGCACACATGTAATATTTAAAAAGGAGAGGGCAACATGAAAGGGGCCGAGGTTTGATCACCAAAAATCAGCACAATGAAAACAAACAGTAATGAATAATGGGCACTAAAATTGAAATTACCAGATGTTTTAAAGAGATAAAGGGTCAGTTTTCACTTCCATTTTGAACACCACATTACAAAAGAACTATTTTTAAAAATAAAAGAGGATTGAGGAAAAGAAAATAAAATAAAAAGAATATCTAAACTGTTGAATGACCCCCCCACCCCCACCCATTTGTTCCTGATAAACGTCAATCACATCTTCTTCCTCCATTCCCAGTTCTTTTGGAGTGTGATTATCAGCAACTCTCTGACCTTCAAAGAGAAACCTGAGTGAATCCATTGGAACTCCCTGTCTTTGACAGTATGATTCTTTGAGATTCTTGAGATGTGTTGTCATTTTCACTTTGAAGTGAATCTCACTGCTATCCTGTCCAATGACTTTGAGTTTAATGAATTCTCCTTCCTTCTTATCCCCCAAGTCCTCAGTTGAAGGTTTTGCCTCCTGGTCAGACATGGTGATGGTGGCTTCACCCGGGGTCTCCGCATGGCAGCGGCTTCAAGTAGGTAGAACCTCGCTCTGGAGTTTACAAATCCGTCTCTCTTCCCCACAGCACAACACCGCATCTCAGTAATTCCTGTTTTTCATAATCGTTCCCAAACTTTCACTTATAATTTATGCTGTAATGAGCACACATCAAATTTTATTTGCATTTCAGTCTTTTTTTGCTTTATTGTTGAAAGTATTACAGATGTCCCTCCTTTTTCCCCCACTGATACCCTCCTCCCCACCCCACCCCACCCCAACCTTCACCACACTGTTGTCTGTGTCCATTGGTTAAGCATATATGCATGTAAGCTCTTTGGTTTATCTCTTCCCGTCCCCCAGCCCCCTTCCCTCTGAAGTTTGTTAGTCTGTTCCCCACTTCCAAATCTCTGGATATATTTTGTTCATCTGCTTATTTTGTTCATTATATTTCACAAATAAGTGAAGTCATGTGATACTTATTTTTCTCTGATTGGTTTATTTCACTTAGATAATACTCTCCAGGTCCCTCCAAGTCATCTCAAAGGGTAAGAGATCCTTCTTTCTTACAGCTGCATAGTACTCCATAGTGTAGATGTACCACAGCTTTTTTATCCACTCATCTACTAGTCCAAGTGTCCATCAGTAAATGAGTGCATTTGTCTTTTTTTTTAGATTGAACTACTGTAAGTGGACTTAAGAGACTGATGACTCATTCATTCCTTAGCATATATTTAATGAACACACACTAGGCACTGGACAATATTTTAAACTGGTAATACAGTAATAAAAAATTTAAAAGCAAACAAAATATCCCTGTATGCATGGAGTTTACTACAGCAGTTCCCCCTTATCTGCAAGGAATATGTTCCAAGATCCCCAGAGAATGCCTGAAACCCTGTGTATACTATATTAAAAGAAGCACTTGACAGCTTCTCTTTGGCATATCCCAATTGCCAGCATCACTACTTTTGCACTTGGAGGCCATCATTAAGTAAAACAAGGGTTACTTGAACACAGCACTGTGTTACCAGCACAGTCGATCTGATAGCCCAGTGGGCGACTGAGTGACTACCAGGCGGGGCGCAGGCACAGGGTTCATACACTGCACAAAGCGTGAGATTTCATCATGCGACTCAGAACGGCACACAATTTAAAACTTAGAAATTGTTTATCTGGGATTTTCCATTTAATATTTTCGGACCATGGTTGACCACAGATAACTGAAACCGTGGAAGGCGAAACTTCAGATAAGGGGGACTACTGTATAAATAACTTTAAGTCTGTTTAGGGATTTTGCCAACTCACTTTCAGAAAGGCTGGAGCACCTTACAGCCCCACTAGCAGTCCGTAAGTAGCATCTTACTGACTGTCACCAGCACTGAGTGTAATGGCTTAATTTTTTTTCAGTTTCATAACATTTAATGGGGAGGTTGCATTCTTTAAGGACTTCACTCTTCCTTTTTTATCTCCATATATTCACCAACTAACAAAACACAAAGAAATTGAAGAGACAGTTAAATTCTCACCCAAATGGCCAGTTTCAAAGTCGTCGTTTTTACCTCCAGTGAGAGAAAGGTCCCCCACCAAAATCAGGAGTGACAACAGTGGGATGACCTCCACGCTTTGCAAGGTAGAAGGTAGCAGAAGTGCCCATGACAAATCTGTGTCCTCTTAAGACAAGTCAGTGGCAAGTTGCTCCAGCCAAATGCCAGCCCTCCTGGGGCATCCCTACTTCCCCAGAAGCCGGGATGGGAGGCAGGCTGGGCATTGAAGTCAGGACCAAAGGAGGTTCTCTCACAAGCTGAAGGCCATTTTGTTCCTTTTCATGAAAGCCTTTGGAAGACTTTGGCAGGGGCTTACAATATGTACAGAAATATATTAAAATAAGTAAGAAAATGAAAATGTTATATATAATATTTTGAGAGTGTTTATGTCCTAGAAATTTTCAGAATATTCTCTCTATAATAAATAAATATATTGTGCTTACTATATATCAGGCAGTGTCTTAAGCACATTTGGCTCCATTTGTGAAATGAAGAAACAGGCATAGAGAGGCTAAGTATTCCTAAAGTCAGAGTCTGATCCCAGTCACCACGCCTTTAAAGTGTGCTCTCAAACACTATCTTACAAGAAGGAAACTGAGGATCAAATCAAGTAAGCAGTCGCCCTGGTTCAATGGCTTAGGTCAACAGGGGTTGACCAGGTGTCCCCGTGAACCAAACCCTGTGTTAGTGCAGGGTCACAGATGGCACAAGTGGGAGGCTAGAAGCTCGGATCTGGCTCAAGGTTCATCTGACTCCCTCGCTCTCCCTACTGTATCTTGTGCTTAAGGAAAAAAAAGTTTCCTTGTTGGGGTTGGTGTGTTACGTGGCAAGGCTGCCCCAGGGCCCAGTGTTCTTGAAACAAAATGCCCCCGCGAAAGGAATAGAAGCGCTCAGCTGTGCTGGGGTTTGGGAGGGCAGCTGCGTTGGAGGGCACATCTGGGTGGGCCCCTCGCTACACCTTCCTGGCCCCAGACACTCTAATGCAGCCCAGGTGGCTCAGAATGGATCTTTCAGGTTCCGATGCCTCCCCACAATGAACAGCAGTCTTCAGGAATTTCAGGAAGTATTCTAACAATCCTCGGCCTTGGCCTCAGAATAGCTGAGCCCCCCAGTTATTGAACATTCTCTTATATTTTCCCCTGACAACTCACACTGTGCCTCGGACTGCTTTGATAGCTCCCTTACCAGTTGCCTTCATATTTCAAAACCTATGAAATTACATATTTGAAGGGATTATTCAGTTTTTTTTTCCCTATGGAAAGCACATACACCCCATAATGCTTTCATAATGATAACCAGATGGATTGAGGGGTCTTTGACAGGGGTTTCTTTAGCTAATTTGAGAACATACTGAATTCCAGTCTCTTTTAACTAGTGCAAAAACGAGCAGACTGTGAAGTGCCCTACAAATTTCCTCCTTCTGCAATGTTAATACTTTCATCGGAGCCAGATGAAATATATTCAGAGCCAACTCTCCTCTTTCTCCATTTGGAAGGTCCAGGTTTCAGGCTTTACTTAGCAAAGCCCAGGAAAATGTTTAACCAGAAGGACTGCATACTCCTAAGTAGTCCCCACTCAATGCAGCCCATACCTCCCAGTCAGTGCCTATGCTTCAGCCTCCTCATTCCTTACTCTCAAAAGTCTAAGAAACTTTAAAAAGGTTTCTTACCTACATGTAAAATTATATGACAGGAATAAAAGGGAACTAAGTGGCCAGTTGGTCTACCTCTTTCAGTTCTAGAAGAGGAAGCCGAAGTTGCAGAAAGGTTCAGTGACTTGACTGAGGTCACGTAGGTCGGAAGAGGCAGAGATCAGACTTGAACCTCATTCTAAGTGCAGTGTTTGTTCATTCTGTCATTGTGCCCCTGTCTTCTGCTTTCCTTCTGTGTTATAGTCTCTCCTTTCCCCCATCTCCCTGTCAGAACCAGGTGTTGGATAAGGATGGGGTCAAACCAGAGTGGATCAGGTTGTGCAGAACAGCCTCAGCAAGGGAGAACAGGCAACAGGCAACAGTGGGAAGGTTCTGGCAACAGGCAGTTGGAAAAAGTCTGGCTGATGAGTCAGCAGAAGGCACAGGCCCAGACAGACGGGTGGTGTGTAGAGCAGGGAATTTGACACCAGGTACACAGAGGTGTAGTGGGCAGATTAGGTAAGCAGTGGGTGACAGAGACCCAGACTCATGAATAGCCTTTCACGGCTGGACTTGAGTTCATAACACCTGAGGTACAGTACGAAGGCAGGGAGGTGACCACAGGGTCTTAGTCCATGGAACTGGAGTTAGAATCTGGAATTCAGTGCTAGGAAACATGTTACAAGGTCATGGCAGAACCAGCAATGAGCTGTTGGCCCAGAGTTCCTTAAATTCTCCCAGACCAGTGTGGTAGACACAGTAGCTGACCAGATAGCCTGTGCATTTCTGCATATTGCCCAGCTTCCTTTGTAGCTAGAACGAGGCCATATGACTATTTCTGCCAAAGGATTGTGAGGGGAAGTGGAGAGGAGACCATGGCAGTCACGTTTCTAGAAGTGTACTGAGAACAGGCCTGTTGCCAGCTCCGTGTCCACCCCTCCCCAGCTCCGTGAAGTCGACTCTGTGGAATATGTGTAGCCTCAGACACAACACGGAATTCCCATGGGAGGACTTCATATCTACATGGGAAGTGCCTTTGAGCAAGAGAGTACATACCTTGCTGAAAGGAGCCACTCCTAAAGGAAAAAAGAGCAAAGAAATTTCCCCCATAAAACCAATGCTCTCTGCATATTATAACTGCTTGTTTTGTTGAGAGACAATAGAAAACTGGATAAAAGTAGGAAATTTATATATGACATAAGTGTAAACATATATAAATGTAAAGAGATTTACTTAGACATCAATAGATTTACATAGATATAAGCAGATTTACATCTCTGAAAGGATTTAAGCCTCTCAACAATTAAATGAGGCAGGTATTATTATTCTTATTTTATAGATTAAAAAAACTGTGGCACAGAAAGTGTCCGTAATGTGGGAGACAGTTGAAATAAATAGAGATTTCTTATGATATTAAAAAGTTTGTTTTAATATTTCTAAGAAGTGTGGTCTTATAGCCTTAAACTTTAAACATTTGTGATAGAAAACTACATTTGTTAAAATTTGTTATTAAACTGTGTGGTTTGTAGCAGAAACATTAATGATATTTATTAAGCATCTACTATTCTCTGTTCTCAATGTATGTTAACGTAATCTGAGACAGGAGAATTTTGTCTGCCGTGGTTTCAGCGTGCGTCCTCCAGTGTGGTGTAGTGGGGAAGGGCTGAGATTAGAGCCTGGTTTCATCACGGCCAGTCAACACGGACAAGCTATTGTCCCTCGGTTTTCCTCATCTGTAGGATGGGGTGTTAATATCTGCTTTATTTCTCTCCAAGGGTTTTTCCTCTTTCACACACACACACACACACACGCACACACGCACACACGCACACACGCACACACGCACACATGCATGCACTTTGTAAACTGTTATCCACTGTCCTGGTGCAGTTTTCCTGAGCAAAGCCAAATAG